TTCTGACTCATGCAATAATTTACAGTCGAAAAAGTGGAAAAGCCATATTTTGTTTAAATAAAGAATGGCGGTCAGGATTGAAGCAACGATTGCATGTTTTCTCCGGAACAAAATGGTCGAATAACAAATATGCAATCGCAATGAACATCTTAATTTTTGTAAATGTATTTAAAAATCTTTCTTTTCCATGATCTTTGAAATGTCTTTTTCCGTGTTTTTAATTATTTTTCGTGTATAAAAAGAAACTCGATATATTCTTTCCCTGTCTTTTATTCTTATTGTTTGATGTTGCGACGTGATAAACAAATGCGTATCTTATTAAACAAATCTTGATTAAATACTTTGCTTATATGTAATAGAATTAAATCACGAAAGGTATCGAATAGATTAAAGATTAATTGCGTATTTTATCCCGTAGAAATAGAGAAAAAAGACTTAATTGCCAAACCATGTACAGCCACACGAGACCTCGGGGCAGGAAGTTTGGAAGGGTCCATCTTTTGCTTTGAAAAGAAAATGCCAGTGTATTATCTTTATCATAGAACTAGTCTGAACTGCCGTAAGACGGATCGGCTGTTTCCCGAAGCTTTTCGAAGGAAAATCTAACCACCCTCCCATTCAATTGCCCTCCTGCGAAGGCGGAGGAGTTAGAGCAATTTGTCTGAAACGTCTCCTTGTAAGCCACGGAGTGTTGAAAAAAACACAATAAAAGAGCGAACGTGTTCCTTCACTATGCACTGAATTATGCTTTAATTTCAATGTCTCAATGCCAAAGTTAGAAAAATTTATAAGTAACAAATAATAACGTCGGAAGATTATTTTCTCAGTAAAAAAATTACTGTTATAAAAGAACCAAGATAAAATTCTTAACAGTTTTTAGTAGACAACTTAATATATTAAGTTTCATCTTTCGTCTCTCATTTGTCCAACTGGTTTTAACGAAACTGAGGTAAATAATTGACCTGGAAGTTTAGTTATATTCAGAATTTACTATCAACTGATCTGTATATTATAGACATAATTTAAATAACAATCTTCTTGATTCTTTTCTCGGAAGAGCCTTTCTCCATCGATGCTGAATTTATCTTTTTTTTTTCCTAAAAACACTTTTACTTACGTATTGATAATTTCGTCAAAGTCTTTTTATTGCTAAAGCAGAAACTTATAAAATATTTTATACGCAATATTTATTGTGCCAACCCACTAAAACCAATGTGTCGCGATGTACTTATAAATCATTCGCCCAATATTTACGATCATTTGTATATAACCGGTCTAGTTCACAAATATCAGAAGTCAAAATTAGCATGCGATTTACTAATTCGCGAATTAAAGCCCAGACCACCCGCGTAGAAAATAGTTAGGGAAAGCTTAATAAGCATAAGGCCCCGATGAGGATTTAATAAGGATGCCTTAAAAAGGGCTACCTCAATATTACCACATCAGGGCCCTACAAGAAGTTACTAAGGATGCCCTAGTTTTACTAAGTAGGGCTCAGTTACGGAAAACTAATAAGGGCCCTACAAGGAGTTATTAAGGATGCCCTAGTTTTACTACGTAGGACTCAGTTACGGAAAACTAATTAGGGCCCTAACAAGGAGTTATTAGGGCCTTGATAGGGAAAACTAATTAGGGCCCTAACAAGGAGTTATTAGGGCCTTGTTAGGGAAAGCTAATTAGGGCCCTAACAAGGAGTTATTAGGGCCTTGATAGGGAAAACTAATTAGGGCCCTAACAAGGAGTTATTAGGACCTTGTTAGGGAAAACTAATTAGGACCCTAACAAGGGGTTATTAGGGCCTTGTTAGGGAAAACTAATTAGGGCCCTAACAAGGAGTTATTAGGGCCTTGTTAGGGAAAGCTAATTAGGGCCCTAACAAGGAGTTATTAGGGCCTTGATAGGGAAAACTAATTAGGGCCCTAACAAGGAGTTATTAGGGCCTTGTTAGGGAAAACTAATTAGGGCCCTAAAGATAAGATAAATCTAGGGGGCATCCTTAACGACTTTTAAAATTCTCGCTGTCACATCACTTTTCAATGCGCGCTGTTACACGCAGGGTTGGGAAGTAACTCGTTACTTGTAACGAAGTTGTTACAGTTACTTCTTTTTGGTAACTCTAACTTAACTTTGTTACTTTCTCTCCATCTGTAACTATAACTTAACTGATAATAAGGGCCCTACAAGGAGTTATTGAGGATGCCCTAGTTTTACTAAGTAGGGCTCAGTTACGGAAAACTAATAAGGGCCCTACAAGGAGTTATTGAGGATGCCCTAGATTTACTAAGTAAGGCTCTGTTACGGAAAACTAATAAGGGCCCTACAAGGAGTTATTGTAGAAGACGTGGCGACCGCGCGTTAATGTTTCTCGTAAGTAAAAATCGTCCCGTATTAGTTATAAGAGGCGAGCCGATATGATGCGAAAGCGAGTTGTCTGGATCATGGATAAACCTCGATAACCTGAATATATTTTTGATGACTATGTAATTTAACACAGTTTAACAATTAGTTTACCAAATTGAATTTTTTAGTAGGAAGCCTATTGATACCCCACCCCATATTAAAAACTGTAAGGCGCAACAAAGGGCAAGTCATGAGGTCTTGATAAGGAAAACGTCTGATCAGGCAATTTTAATTCTCGACGTTACATTTACGGTCAGGGCCCTGTCAGGGCTGCCTGATGAGTGCCTTACCAGGCATTATGGCATCTTTATTAGGATCCTATCAGGACCCTACTAAAATTTCTGCTCAGGATATTTTTTCATAAGGGCCTGATAATACATCCCTTATAATGCCTTGATAATATCTTATAAGGCTCTAACACGATTTCCTTATAAGGCCCTAGTAATATTTCCTTATAGGGTCATGATAATTTTTCCTTTAAGGTGCTCTTAAACCATTTGTTACATTTCCTTGTCAGGCCCTACTTATATATATCCTTACTAGGGCCCGATTAATTTTAAGGAAACCTTATCAAGGCCTTTTCAGAGCCCTATTATATTTTCTACACGGGCAGCGCTCTCAGAGTCGTATACATCGAGCGTATGTATATGTATAATTTATTTTCTCCGGGAATGCAATAAAGCATGCGTTATTTAAACTATTTGGGAGAGAGGTGAATATTCATAATAAATGTTCCAAACAATTTCTTTCCCGAGTAATTATTTTCCGTTCAACTCGCCTAACTTTATTTTAGGATGAAATAACAGATTTACAAAATGGACTTACTGTTGAGTTGACGAGCTCGTGAATCGCATTACTTTTGTGTCTTTATTTTTTAATCCAATATCAGGAATGTTTTAAAGCGAGGGACACCTTCAGGGCGATAGCACGGAATGTTCTTACTGCACGAGGGTCGAGAAATTTTACGTACGAGGAGATATTCCGTTTAAGCAGCAGAACACTCTAATAGAAGAGCAAATATAGTCGAGATAACGGAGTTTCTATTATCGAAGGTTCTATGTGCGTTATTAAAAAGTCGAAGTCGCCGGAAAGTCGATTTTTATCTCGAGTAAAACTGTCGACGTGACAAACGGATTCTATTGTGCTCAAGCAAGGTGGTCACCGGATAAACGAAGGAATGGATGTGCGCCGGGGAAAGATAGTGTCCAGAGTGCCGTGGCAGTTTATTGCGGCACCATGTTTTCTCAGACGAGACCCCTTTCGGGAATTATAAATCACGCATCCACGAAAACGTTGGTTTTTTTATCGGCACACGTGAACAAGGGATTCTCGGAGAAAAAACTGCCCCTCTGATGTTCTCGACGATGCAACGCATCAATCTGTAGTTTCTCTTACACCGTTGGTTTGCTTTGACACACGTAGTTTTTAAAGCAATTCAATTGTGTTTCTTTATCTGATTCTTTTTTCTCAAAATTTAATCACAGTTAGACATTAATATATTTATCATTAAAACCTTGTGTTAACTATTTATTTTAATCGCAGATACATAAGGACAGGCAATTAATTTCTTTTTCATCTCTGACTACTTTCATTTACCCTTGCATTATTTTTCTATATTTATTATTCATAATGCGTAAATATTACAAATAAACTTTGAGATCAATATCATAACTTTTCACGGCAAACTTTCTGTTACGGTAAATTTGATTCCGTGCCGTGAGTTTTAAAATCAAATGTCAGAGTTTACTGCACGAACTTGGCGGGTTCGCACTTCGTATTTCGCACGTTACGCTCATAATTATGTTCTACTTTAGTTAACAAATGGCGAGCGAAACAAACTAATAGCAAAAAAAGAGACGAAACTGAACGAAACTTTGATGAAATTTTTAATTTTATTATTACGTTACACTGGAAAAAACATTGTTCACATTTATTTTATTAAAAGTAAAATACAAAGTTTGCTTATCAAAAGCTTTGCTTTACTTCAGCAAATAATTAAAAATTCAGTCTTTTGGGTTATTTATATATACAGGGTGTACTATAACCACCGGATATCCTTTTAATAACAGATTCTTTAGAAAATTTCAAGACGAAAATTCTAATACAAAAATATCGAGGCTATAACAGTTTTTTAATAATAAGCAAGTATATTTCACCAATGACAGGCCTGAGATTTCGCGCGCTCAGGCACGGCGACATGACGAGTGATAAAAGTGTTCACATGAATGTCGCCTTTTTTGGCACAGTAACGACCTTCGTGATAATTGATGTTGATCGATCACTTTGACAGCTGCAACACTTAAAAGTTACAACACGTCGCAAATTTTTTCTTGAATTAAATAAGAAGGGCGACATTCATAGGAACACTTGTCATATCGCCGTGCCTGAGCGCGCGAAATCTCAGGCCTGCCATTGGTGAAATGTATTCGCTTATTACTCGAAAACTATTATAGCCTCGACATTTTTGTATTAGAATTTTCGTCTTGAAATTTCCTAACGAATTTGCGATTAAGAGGACATCCGGTGGTTTTAGTACACCCTGTGTATTTTAAGAATAAATAGAAAAGTTTTGAAACGAGCGTGAATATTTCCTGTTACAGGTAAGGCTGTGCCATTCGTGGAGTTGACTGTGGCTCATGCCTCGGTTCTCACAATTTTAGCCATCAGTTTCGAACGCTATTACGCTATCTGCGAGCCGTTAAGGGCGGGGTAAGTATACTGCGCCTGGAATTATCGCAGAGAGCCGCGAATAGCTATACAATAATTAGAGAGTAATAATAATCAGAGATAATAATAACTAGAGAGTAGATAAAAGCGAATAATAAAGAGTTAAGCTTGTCTGATTTAATCCGATTCAACTTATGTGTTATATAGATATGTGTGCACAAAGGCAAGGGCAACCTTTCTTTGTTTCTTGGCGTGGGTGGCAGCGGCGCTGTGTACAAGGTGATACAAAGAGAAAGAGAAACTAAAAAAAGAATCTGTAATTTGCTTTATTAATGCTCTGCCGTCGCCTTTCTTTACGTATCCTTTCCCTTACTTTTTTCTCTGGTTGACGCATGACGGGCTTTTTCACTTGACTCTTCATGTCTCGCTTTACGTCATCTTCACGTGACCGTAATACGAAGCCCACCACCTACACGTCTTATTAACCGCCGCGAAGACTATGTTTTAAGACGTGCGCAAGAGTCGGTCAGTTGATCTTAATTAAAATCCAATTGAGGCGATCGTAATCCAAGATAAGTTCCAACGGCGGAAAATTGATTCTGATAAACTTAATGTTGAAGAAAGGTGAAACCTAAGAGGTTTATCTAAACATTTACAATACAATTCTGTATCTGGCATTTTGATTAATATTCTTTGCACTTCTCGAAAAGAAAAACAATACTTCCTAATAATATTCTTTTTCTTTTGCTTTCTCGGATGCTCTCGTACGATGTACAGTAAGTTGCGCGATTTTAGAACCAGTCAAGTCACTAAAAACTCGTCGAACTGCAACCGCCATACGTTTCTGAATTAATTAATAATTAAATTTTTACCAAACTAAAAGCTGTAACACTTTTCGAAATTTACAGTGGACCTCGGGATCGAAAATAATCCAAAGTTCGAGTAAATTGCAATGTTTAGCCTTGACTGAAACTTGGAACTAATTTATTCGCTGTGCAACTTTCACAGTTTTATGTATTCGAAATGTGATCAACGTACTCTCGTGAGAATAGCACGCCGGATTTTCCATTCATTATTTATAAAAGTAAGGGATAATAGAGTTTTGACATTCAATTATTCAAGCTTTCATTTTTATCATTAATTAATGAAAGTTTTAATGGAAGAAAAATGATGAAGCGTGACTATAAATTAATTACAGAATTCGCTGTTGAAATTAACGTTAAAAATTCTGGAGTATCCGATACGCGTGCGACGTACGAGCCGAGCAAGGAGAATTCCGAAGTCAAAAAATCACTTTTTTTCACGACAATGTATCTTCATAGCACGAGTACGTGACGTAGCGCTTTGTATTTCCCTTTGTTTCTCTAAAACTACTAATTACGATGCATTGCGATGCATGTCATACTGCATGCGTGAAGCAACGGTTGACACAAGCTGCATTCATCCGAATGCATACATGTGCCTGCGCCGAGCTGTGTAACAAGCTGCTCCCTTAACTCCATTGTTCCGTTTGAATCCATCTGACGTATCGTTATTTTCAAAATGGCTCCGTAAAGTTACGTTGCTTCTAATAGATTTCATCGCTCTTTCGATTTTTCCCCGTTCAGACGTTTCTGTAACAAGGAGAAACAAACGCGTCTAGTGAAAATTAGAATTCAGATACAGAATAGAGGAGAAGTCTTGTGATCAAATTGTTCGAATAGCTCGACAGGGAAACGCGAGCGTTTCAAGTTCCGGCATTTCGTACATTTTGAGTGGAGCGGACGGTCAAACTGCTTCATCGATCGTCCGAAGATTCGACTGTTTAAACAACTTAGAACTTGAAGGAATTTGAAAAGTAGTTCGATGCATTTGGAAATCAATTTTTGTCTGCTCCCTCTTTGTAACACGTGATCTAACTTTATGTAACTATTTTAGAATTCTTTGAATTACTTAGATATGCTTTCACAGCCGGAAAGTAAGCCGTAATTCAAGATTTAAAGTTTCAAATGTTTACGTTGTCTCGGAGGAAATTTTAAATACGTAAAACTATATTAGACGTTCATTTAAACTTTATCAGTGTATCAAACATGTACAGGAAAAGCAGGATTTAGCTTAGCGACAAATTACAGAGATTTGTCATATTCGTTCTGGGCCAGTGTATGTCTTAGCGATAAGAGATGTTGATTCAACCAACAGCTGACTTTGTCTGCGAGAAAAGAGGATTAGCTTTAAGGAATCTATTAATTCTTCAGATTTGAGTCACGATGTATTTATTTCTCGGCGTTCAATATAATTACTTGTTCAAGAATATATTAATTAAATGCATTTTTCACGTCGAAGCTTTTCAATTTAAATATATAGAGCGTTTAGGATACAATTAATGTGATAATTAAACGTTGATAAAGACTTTACTTTGTGTCCAAATATTTAAATAAACTCTTAAAAGAGAGGAAATCGTTTTTAGAACGTCTTATTAATGCGTTGTTCCAACCTGTTTAATGTACATTTTTTCGACGGTCGTTTTGTAAAATAACGAAGCAGTATAATATCTTGCAATTAATTTTATTACACGCCTTATTTTATATTCTGTTGGAACTTTAACCTGAAAAACGCGGAGACGGATAATTCTACTGTACCAAGATATATATTTTAATCCGTCAAAGAATTATGAATGTAGCTCAAACGAGACGTTTTGACAACATCAAAGGGTCCCAATTTACTTGTAATGGCAAAGTTAACGAGCGGCATTGTACAAAACAACATATTTCGTTCGCATAATGCTTGGCAGAAAATACATGTCGTGCGCAGAATCTTTGTGGTTCTAAGTGAATGTTATGAAATCCCTCGTGGAGTTCGCTGAATTGCAAGGAGTGCGCGCAAAGACACTCGAGCAACGTAATTGAATCCCTTTACCCCGGAAGCGCATAGATGCGTGCGCATTGACATGTAGGGCAAGTTACGCACGTAAGAACTTCTGCGCGTACACACCTACTGGCATACTACGCCACGAGCCACGGTTCCCGCGGGGCTCTTTAAAAATTCGTTCTTTCGCGTCGAGTCAACCGCAATTGCGAACGTCACGAAGAAGCATATTGTATTCTGCCAGCAATCCGGCAACAATAACATCCCATCAAAATCACACTTCTTTGCGCGTTCTTTACATACAGTGCCACCCGCATCGCTTATTAAAATACGCTGACAATAAATTTAGAGCGGCGGTTTTCCACGGCATTCGCGGGCTTCAAACTATCGAGGTGTGTACTAGAATTTCTTACAAGAATACATCAACTGCCTAAGGCCCGGGTTTTCATTTTCAGGTCAATCGTTAACCAGAGGTTAGTCGATTCTTTGTCTCTCAATAGATAATAATATAGAAAAGGATGAAGAGTCGACTAACTTCTGGTTAACAGTTAACCAGAAAATGAAAAACCGGGCCTTAACGTCGATTAGTGGATTATCAGTGAAAAAACAGTGAATAGTCACTGATTGACTTTTAGAGAAAAGGTCTGACGTATCAGGCGCGCCGCGAAAATCAAAGTTCGGGCTTATCGAAATACGAATACTGGCGGCACGTCGGAAAAAATGCACCGAAGGGATGTGCGTTATCATAAAAGAAAGAAAAAAAATCAGTGGGGCAGAAACGCACGGTCTCGCTCACCGGCGGGCTTTTATCTCGGATCAACGCATTTGAACAAGCGCTGTGAATGAACGGACTCGCCAATATCCGCGAGTGCCCGATTGTGTCCTCGTCGCAATTTCCCTCGTAAAGGGGGATCCCTGCCAAGTTCATTCAAGAAGGGTGCCGCTTGATATCCGTCGCGTAAAACGCACGCGATTGTTATGCCTCTCCCGCGCGTGAAAGTAGCAAAGGTGCCGCGGAATGGTCACACGAAGGGTATAACAACTCATACTTGTAGCGCTGGGAAGACGCGCGACTAGAAGGATATCGATCTTACGTCTGGTAAAAACAAGATCTTAATTAAGGCTGCTGTTCCCCGAGAACCGTGTTGTGTCTTGAAGGATGTAAATAGCTTTGGAGTTAGACTCGCCAATTAAAGGCTTTTGACAAATTAAACGTCAGAAGTGTCGGTAGTTAACAAGATCTTGTTTTCCTAATCATTTTTGTATCCGTGTTTTTTTACCTAACTGTAAATTAACTTTGACCAAACGCGCGCTGTAAATTTCAGTAAAATTTAACTTTACAATTTAATTCAGGCAGAATTTAATTTAGACAGAAAATAAGAAAGAGGTTTTATATATCGCGTGATTGTCAGATGAATACACGAATCGCATATCCGCGATAAAAACGACAACGTTTATACGCCAGGCAGAAATATTTCACATTGTTCTCTCGAGGGCTTTGAAATCATCAGTTCTGCGATATCGTTGCATACAAGTCACGTGCTTTCTCGCGGAATGCACTTGGACGAAAACCGAGGAAAGAGAAAAAGGAAGCGCGGCTTTTGCCCGGCAAACCTCAGGCGAGCACATTTTCCCCTTGTGCCGAAATGCCCTGTGATGAAAGCAGATACATGTTCACACTTTCGTAAGATTGCAGACTGCCGTGCATAAGGAAAGTATCACGTGTAAACTTTTCTTATGAAAATGTGTGGATGACGTATGTCGTTATTCGAACACGTGTCATGCATAATACATGTCTTGAGCATATGTTCGCGATAACATTTAAGACGGAAACTTCGTTGCCGCAACGACTTCTTGTTACAACGATTCCTTCTTACCAACGTGTAATCTTTTGTGTTTAATAGAAACAGCGTGGGGTGTGAGCTTTAGAATTTACTCTTTACACATTTGCTACAAGTTAGAATATTATCAAACAATAACTAAAATAATTAATGGCTAATACTGGTGTTTTTAAACAAAGTGACAGTCGAAATTTCTATGGACGCCACGTCGGTATAATTGCTTGGCAATTTTTGTATCTCGTCTTAAGGAGATGCTGGAGTGATTCTGCACTTTTGCACCTTTCTAACCTAGAAACTGTCAGTTCGCGGAAACACTTGTGTAATATACAAATTAAATGACTTACGTGTACAGATCGAAAGCAGCTTGCTATTCCGGCTAAGTGAAAGAACAATATGGCATCACTGAAACTTATAAGTTTGTAAGTCTAATAAAAAAATAATAGTGAGCAACACACATGCCACATGCACTGTATGTGTGTGTTGCTCATTATTAATTTTTATTAGACTTACAAACTTAGTTTCAGTGATGCCATATTGTTCTTTAATTTAGCCGGAATAGCAAGCTTTCGATCTGTGAGCCTTTTACTTTGTATA